AATTTACCTCAATGTCATATAATTAACAAATATCTCATAGACAGCTCGGTGATACAGGAAAATTTACCTCAATGTCATATAATTAACAAATATCTCATAGACAGCTCGGTGATACAGGAAAATTTACCTCAATGTCATATAATTAACAAATATCTCATAGACAGCTCGGTGATACAGGAAAATTGACCTCAATGTCATATAGTTAACAAATATCTCATAGACAGCTCGGTGATACAGGAAAATTTACCTTAATGTCATATAGTTAACAAATATGTCATGGACAGCTCGGTGATACAGGAAAATTTACCTCAATGTCATATAATATACAAATATCTCATAGACAGCTCGGTGATACAGGAAAATTTACCTCAATGTCATATAGTTAACAAATATCTCATAGACAGCTCGGTGATACAGGAAAATTTACCTCCATGTCATATAATATACAAATGTCTCATAGACAGCTCGGTGATACAGGAAAATTTACCTCAATGTCATATAGTTAACAAATATCTCATAGACAGCTCGGTGATACAGGAAAATTTACCTCCATGTCATATAATATACAAATGTCTCATAGACAGCTCGGTGATACAGGAAAATTGACCTCAATGTCATATAATTAACAAATATGTCATAGACAGCTCGGTGATACAGGAAAATTTACCTCAATGTCATATAATTAACAAATATCTCATAGATAGCTCTGTGATACAGGAAAATTTACCTCAATGTCATATAATTAACAAATATGTCATAGACAGCTCGGTGATACAGGAAAATTGACCTCAATGTCATATAATTACCAAATATGTCATAGACAGCTCGGTGATACAGGAAAATTGACCTCAATGTCATATAATTAACAAATATGTCATAGACAGCTCGGTGATACAGGAAAATTGACCTCAATGTCATATAATTAACAAATATCTCATAGACAGCTCGGTGATACAGGAAAATTGACCTCAATGTCATATAATTAACAAATATGTCATAGACAGCTCGGTGATACAGGAAAATTTACCTCAATGTCATATAATTAACAAATATGTCATAGACAGCTCGGTGATACAGGAAAATTGACCTCAATGTCATATAATTAACAAATATGTCATAGACAGCTCGGTGATACAGGAAAATTGACCTCAATGTCATATAATTAACAAATATGTCATAGACAGCTCGGTCATACAGGAAAATATCATGTACTTTAAGTCACAATGTGGCTGTATATTTTATAAGAGAACTAGGAATGTAAAAGGCATGCAGATTGAATTTTATATCTAACTTCATGGTTAGTCTCCTAAATAGATGTAAAAAGACAAAGAGTGTTATCTATAAATAACTGACCATTCAGACAGTTTTGGCTTCAGAAATGTACACATTTAACAAGTTCAAAGTTCAACATATGTAAAACACGTTTTACCACATACGTTATTAAAACATTTGGTATAATAAACATTTCATCTAAAAACGTGACCATGTGTTATAGCATATGGTGAACAGAAATTGGGCCGATATTTCCTATTATGGTTGTTGACAGTGGACTTGTAAGATCACATGTTACAAAGGATATTGATCACCTTTACGTGCTGTTGGAAAGGACATTTTACGACATTTCCTTACTGATTTTATCTAAAGAAACTTATAGACATTATGGACTTTTGTCAGTTGCAGAGAGCCCCAATATGACATGAAATCTAGTCTGATTTGTAGGGATATTGGCTTCTGTTGCCTGAGATTCTGTTACTGTCTCCCATTTATGGAATCTGAATGGACTAACCTTTTTATAATCGGCAATAAGCCCATGCTGGCTGGGTGATAAGACCACCCACATACATTTGTTGGATGAAACATTTTCATTGTCCTGTAATAAGCCCACCCCTTCACTTTGAATTAAAATAAATGTCTTTGTCCTCTGGGCTTAATAAGAGGAATATTGTAATTATTCATAAATAGGTCAGTCTAAGGCACTGAAACTAATGCTTGTGATAAAGTCTCATTTTCTCTAAATGTGAAGTACAGAAAAAGGTGAACTTTGACACATATCAGCCTGTCCAACAGCTCTCATAAAATCTGCCCTGTTATCTCGTGGGGATAATGCATTTTACGATAAGCTAAAACTTTAAATCTCCGATATTGTGTTCTTAATATACTAGATATATAGATTGCCTTCCACCGAACAATTATATAGGTCAGAGAAATGACAATGTTTGCATTGTCTTTTTTGTGTTCAAATAACTGTCACAGACGGTTCAGGTGTGGAACAATATCGGGTTTGTCTGTACTGACAGTTCAACGCCTTCTGTTTAATTATATACTTTTCTGGCAGGGATGGCTATTAGTGTGAAAATTAAAGTTAACCCTGTGTGTTAAATACAACAATAGGTTATTTTATAGATATAGGTCTCATTGAAACAGAATCTTCTATGTTCAAGTTCATTTATAGAGAGAAGACTTGATGTTAGAAAATTGATTATTTTGTGATTTGCTGCAAAATTAGAACTTGATAAAATTAGGGCGTAAATGATTAATCAGTGACCACATTTATCAAGTTTAATTGTCAGGAAAAAAATTGCAACACCTCATTTTTCCTGCTCTATATATAGTTTACAAGGGAAATGATATCGCAGTGTGCCAAGCTGTAATATATTGATTGTAGGCTTATATAAATAACGATCTTTCATTTGATATGAAGTGAGAATACAGGATTCTAGCTGTGAAACAGACAGTAATGTTTGATGTGTTATAATGTTTAAGTTTTTAAAGCATTCCAAGTTGCACCAAAACAAGGATTTTTTTAACCACGAAAGAAAATTTTAATCATTCGATGGGAAGAAAATTTGTCTTAGCTGAAACTTTCACTAACGGAGCTTTGGACTTCAATAATTTTTTTTAGAAACTTTTCACCTGTTGGAATGTTTTGGTTTTTTTTCCCATTTTAATTTGAAATATTCCCTACACACCAACCCATTAAACAATGAGAGATTCTGATATGCAAGGTTGTGCCAACATTTGTGTACGACAATTGTGTACATCATATATACACATGTAATCTTGTAGACGACTGGTATCTACCATATCGTAACACAGTCATGGCACTCGAGACTCGATTACAATCAGCTTTGTGACTTCCCGTTATAGATATCATTTTTATTCAGTCTTTTGAATGATCTTATAAAGTCTAATTATGGATCAAATCATTTAAATTAAAACTTTTGTGATTTTCTAAAAGATTTGATAAGAATTATTGAAGAGATATATTGTAGAGTTTCTGTTGTTTCGAACTACAAGCTTTGATAATTTGGGTACGTGTACACATGTTTTCTGATTCTTGTATACAACAGTGTTTATGTTGAATGGGTTTAAAGTTACTCGTATAACATTGAGTTGTACAGTTAAGTTTGAGGTTGTTTGGTGTACATGTTTGTAACTCAGGGTATTTTATACCCAATGTAAACCAGATATGCTTGGAACCAGAAAATTTATACACTGTCCAGTTTATAAAATTATTTGGTTGCCAATATTTTGAAAAAGCACTACGATGAGAAAATGAAAAAAAAACGGTTAATTTTGTTTTTTCTATAAAATGTTAATCAGTTATGTTCATAAATAAAAAGGAAAAAAAGTATAATTATATAAAAAAAATTTCTTTGTTTACAATTTTGAAATAGATTTTAATCAAATAGGACATAATAGATAAAATTTTGTCAAGACACAGCAAAGTTTGATTTATGTTCAGCGAATCATTTGTCCTGAATACCAATCAAGCAGGAATAGATGTGATGGGAACCGATTATACAAGATTCTGAAATAACAAGTCAGGTTCCATTGTAACTAATGATGATGTATACTCATATTAAATCAAAAGTGAGTCACCTGCTAACTTGCTGTTTTTCTATGGTGTTTAAATAAGTTGGCGTAACATGTTTTGTACATTTCTTTAAAGATAAATAAAGTTTACATTTTCTTTTAGAATATGAATGTAGAAGAACGGTTCCAATAACATACTGGCCCAATAGGTAGTTTTTGATATTAAGAAGATTTTGATAAGAAAACAATACGAGTATATATTAAGGTATGACTATCTCATGGTTTTTGAGAATGCAACTTTTATATAGATCTGTTTTCTGGTCACAAAAACTAGGAATTCTGATCGATGCTGAACAACATTGTCTACTGTCACGGTATCTGGTATTTACAAGGTCATAAGTTCAAACATCAAGGTTATTCTGGCTTGTTAATACCTTAATCTTATAAAAGCTAGTGACTTTGTGACCTACAGTTATCTAACAATCAAATATAACATGTGAGTTTAAAGGTTATAAAAGAATGTACCAAAATAATACCTGTAACATTAAGGGGATGGTGTCTGATCTGACAGCCTAACCATAGTACACAGATTATATAAAGTTATATCTGAGCATCGAAGTATGGCTTTGATGACTGTTGGAATACAATATGTCAGATCAAACACGGACTTGTTACAGAATTATAGATGTCTTACTGTAGAGTATCGGTGTAAGCATTAAAGTGGAATATGATACAACAGATGTCATATCCATGTTATCAGATTAGAAAACCTGGTACACAATGACCTGAGACAGACTGGAGAAACACCAGTAATGGTCACAGAAAACTTACATTAGTGGAAATTCTTAATTTGAATAGATTATCATCAGAACTTTATAATCTTTTGAGGACAAAAATTTTTTTATCTTTTTAGCAGAAACTTTCATAAAGATTGTTTTATATGGTAAAACTGTGTTACGCAGCCAGAGTAGGACAACTTGTTGGTGTTTTACCTGGTGGTGTCGTATGTCGGAGAGCTCTATCAGGGACGAGTCCAAATCAGTCTTAATTTCTCTAAACTTTTGTCAAAATTATTGGGCTACATGTTCGTACACAAAAGATAAATATGATTGAAAGGTATCGATGTTTATAAATTGTTGATATTTTACCTGGTTTCCTGATTCTGACGATGGTTGTACTTACAGGAGGATTTTCTGGCGACAGATGACCTGTTCGTGGAATACTTCAACGCCTTTTTGGCGTTACCAGTAAGTATAACTCCTAACTACATAATAATAATACTTCATTTATGAAGGATTTAGATACAATCAGTGTACTTAATTCTCACCCCTCATCATCTTTATACACTAGGAATGCAAAATTTAGCATAATATGGGCTTAGCATTACAGCATCAAAATACAGGGAATATTTCCAGGTAAAATTTTCTGAAATAAGTTTGATTATAAGCATTGATCCCAGTAAAAGGACTTTGAATCTGAATATTTTATTCACATTTGTTTACAGACTTTCCCGGTGCCTCTATACTTCAACAAGGATACCGGAGGGTTTGAGGTGGCCACTGATGCCAAGAAGGAATTGTCAAAGAAGATAAAGGCAGCCATTCGATCTCAGAAAAACACAAATAAAATCTACCGTGTCGCAAAAAAACATAGTTTCATCGACATACCTTTAATCCCTATTGAGGAGCCAGAGGGGCCGGAGAATGTTGAAATTAATACAAGTTTTACTGTCACCGTAAGTAATGTTACTGAACCTGTTGTTACTGTGAAGACCTCTGATATCCAGGCATATACAACGAAAATTTAGCTCACTTCAAATTACTATTAAAGTATTTCATTACATCATTTTTAATGTTGGCAATATTCTCTCAAACATTTAATATCACTGCATCACAATGGTTGTAAAACTGTAGTTATTTATTTGTTGATAAGCCCACCTATATTTATTGCTGTTCACAGAAAATGTTAACGATAGCTTATTCGTTGTCCTTCAATAAGCCCATCCCCTACTGTTAGTAAAACTACATGCATTTCTAATTGAATTGATTTGAATTGATGGGATTCTGACATGATAAATACAATATATACTATTTGTATATATTTTTCTTGAAGATGTTAATTGAATTTTAAAGCTCAAGAAACAAGGATTATTATGTTTATATAATGTTTCAGACACTGAACAGAGAGCAGGGAATACACTGGGTGAAGGAAGTACGTCTGCCCGCCTTTCTAGAGAGTGACCTGTATCTCGAGTTTCGACTTGGCAAACTAATATCACAGTCACAGATCACGGGGGAGCGTGGCGAGTATGTCCTCCAGAGGATTGACTTTATACCAAGAGCCCAGAAAGTGAAAAAGGAGGAAGAGGAAGAGGTGGTGATTGACCCTCGGGAACAGATCATGAAGGACATGTATGTTTGTGTCGGAAATGCCCTCCCTACTCAGACAGAGGCTTGGTTTGCCATAGCACAAGGTGCTACTACTACACAAACCACTTACTCCACACAGCCACGTCCAAACAGTGCTGCTGATATCGTTAAACGGCCAAATAGTGCACGTCCAGTCAGTGCCTACAGTGCTATCGACAGCTACAACTACTCGGAGAGTGGTCTGGGTGTGTCTATCAGGGGTTCGGTGCAAAGTTCTGGAGGGAGAGGCTACCAGGTGTCACAAATGTCGGGCAGTGAAGATGAGGATGTATTTTCTAGCAAACTTTTTGCCACAGATGGAAAACCAATGACACCTAGACCTTCAGAAATGATATGTTGTATGGCAGATGAACCATCTAAAAAGTCACGACCATTTAGTGCCACTGTCTACAGTACACCTAAGTATGAGGCTGACGGCGATAACGAGTCTGGACTCGGCATTGAAGATGACAAGTATGACCTAGCATCTGAGGGTTCGGGTCCAAGAGACTTGTTTACAGAAGACGATGTACAGGACCGAGTTTCAGGTAGTCCCAGTGAAGATAATGTCATCTTTCGTGACATGGACGATCTTGGTGCTGCTCTGGTTGGAGCAGTGCTGAAGCGTTCTATAGCTTACCTCACCAATAGAGATGAAACAGAAGTGGCAGAAGATCCAGATATATTAAAACATCTACCAAAAACATCGTGTAGAGACATGAAACTAGATATGATTGAACGTGTATCACTCCTGGAAGATAGTGGTATTGTTAAGGAAACAGCTGAGGATAAGGAAGTGAAAGAGGTAACAGAAGGTGAAAAGAACAAGGATAAAAAAGACGAGGACAGTGATGCTGATTCTCTTCTGGACAGTGAGGATGACTACGATGAGAGAGATTTGTTTTTTAGAAGAAAGAAGCAAAAAACATTTAAGTTGACAGATCGGAAAGGAATTGAAGCTTTTAAGTCATTTCTACAGGGAACAGCCGGGGAGAAAAATTGGCATATGTGGTTAGATATAGACCGTATCCAATTCTTAACCAAGGGCAAGACTGGACAGGTGTTAGAAGCTGCGGTCAGCAGGTGAGTGCATCCAAGGGTTGTGCTGCCCCAGTGTTTAGGAATACATCTTGTGGTTCCATGTTCATTCACATCCAAACACAACAAAAATAAGGATCATGAGGGAGTGGGGTTTTGTCTGTTTTGTACATTTTAACCCTAACAAAAGGAAAACTTATTCTTGTGAATTAGAAAAGTTCCATTTTTATGTTCAAAAAAGTTTGTGAATGATACAAATTGATCTTGGCTAAGAGCAATGTAACCATGGTGTTATTGTACAATATTGGCTGACTTCATTTAGAATTCCTTACTTCATTGTCTCCCCCTTAACTGAGGTAAATCCATTACTGATCCTCCAAAGCTGGCCAACCATCCTATTCTAAGATTAAATACATATTAATGTGACATGTATGATAGTACCATGCCCTACAGTTACATCTTACAGACAAATATTTTGTGATCCATGGCAACAATTAAACTTTCATATGCTTGTAATGAAAATAACAAAATAATTTGTCTTTTTCTTACTCTGTGTTGTGGTACTTTGCTAGTTCCAAACAAATTGTTTGATAGATACGGCTTTGAATTCTGTGGTTGATATTTCAAATAGGTGACAAAGGTATAACATTGGGGCTTCATTCAAAGTTTGGATTTGATAAACATTTATATATATTGTATTCATTGAAAGATGTGAATGCAGTCAGTTTTCTAACTGGAAAAAGACCAATTAGTTATGTGTCACTATGATATATTGTTGTGTGTTCAATATTAATTCTATATCAACATCTTGTAAAATGATTAGATTTTACTAAATTCTGCTTCAGTAGAAATATAAAGAATATCAATATACTGATGTATCACATTTCCTTCATGCTGCTGGCCATACACATGGCTAAAACCTGTACAATTCTATACTGCTCTTAACATACCAGGTATCAGTATTTGTACTTGGTAGGGTTTGGCCGTTACATGTAGTCAGCTGTCAAGTGGCTGTAGGACAGGTACACTCGTTTGCATAATCAGAGTGTATTTACACAGGTTCTGCAATAAAAATTTTAAGTACCTAATATTCCTACTGTATTGGCTGATAAAAACTACTGGGTATTTACATAGATACATATGTGTAGATTTTCTTGACATCAAGAATTATATTGGATTCCACGTCATAAAAAATAAAGTTATGATCATTGCCTTAAGTGTGATAATGCCAGTTACATACCCTTTGGTAGATTGGCATGATGTAATTAATCCATGAAAATCAAAAATGTAAATTCCACATTTAATGTAGAAATATATATTGATTTATTTGAATTGAATGCAGACTGGTCTCAACAAGAGATATTCTGTTATCATACATAAATGAAGAAATCATTGAACTGTTTAAATTGATTTCTTCATTTGACCTCGCATGTCATCGATCATTTCTACTCTGGAATTTTACAACATTGAATCATCATATATAAAACAGCACCATTATATTTAATAGTGAAATATATACTAGCATTACCATTGATTAAATCTGAATACATTTTCAGGTTTGGTATGTTTCTAAGGGCACATTTCAAAGTTTTAATTGACTCGCTGACAAGTTAAATATTTCATAGGTACCAATACATACTCTCAATAGAAAAAAAAAGACGTCCAAGTCTAATTGATAGTGTATTTCACTGAAATTTCAGGTACATAGAATAGACATTTAAATATACCCGGACGTACATTTCACATGTATTAATAGATACCACTTATAAAAACGTACTTCACTCATGAGAAAAGAAAACATAGCTCTCGCTTTAGGCTTGTTTACAAATGTTTGACCTATGTAGGTTGCCAGGTGACCGAGAGGGTTTGATATATCAGGTTTTGTGAGGGTGTATTAAGTATGTATGTTATAAGTGACTTTAATTAGACCTAACTTCACCTTAGTTGTCTGGAAGTGTGGACACAAGGGTCGCACCTTTAGGAGATAGATTCCCGAGTAAACAGAAGGAATTGTCACCATTGTTAGACAGGGTTTATATAGTAGTATATACCACAACACAGAAACAGGACATACTAGGGATAGTGCGATACATATATACATTGGCACAGTCTTACAGCTGATTTTATAGTGATATGAATCAATTTCTGAAGTCAAATAAATGTTCAAAATCAGTGACAATATTAGATCCAGAGCTGAGTCACTTGTAAATCAAATATGACCGACTATTTCTAGTGACTTTTGAAGAACAGTCCCAGGAGGAATTATGAAACATATTTCAGAAAAACCAGCACAATATCAATTTTTTTATTGTGACACATCTGTTGTTCATCTTTGTATTGTTTATATAACAGAATTTATTTCCCTTACTGTCTAATAGTTCCATCAATTTGTCTCTTGATGAATTCTGATACATCTATCTGCCTTTTTTCTCTCTCTGCACTCTGATAATCCCCAATATCTTAATTGATACCTTTTGTTACAGCCCTCCATCTCTATATTGATGCCTCCTAATACAGCACCCCCCCCATCTCTATATTGATGCATTTTGTTACAGCCCCTCCCATCTCTATATTAATGTCTTCTGTTACAGCCCTCCATTTCTGTGTTGATGCCTTCTGTTACAGCCCTCCATCTCTATATTAATGCCTTCTGTTACAGCCCTCCATCTCTATGTTAATGCCTTCTGTTACAGCCCTCCATCTCTATATAAATGCCTTCTGTTACAGCCCTCCATCTCTGTATTGATGCCTTCTGTTAAAGCTCTCCATCTCTATATTGATGCCTCCTAATACAGCCCCCCCCCCCCATCTCTATATTGATGCATTTTGTTACAGCCCCTCCCATCTCTATATTAATGCCTTCTGTTACAGCCCTCCATCTCTGTGTTGATGCCTTCTGTTACAGCCCCCTTTCTCTGTGTTGATGCCTTCTGTTACAGCCCCCCCTATCTCTGTGTTGATGCCTTCTGTTACAGCCCCCCCTATCTCTGTGTTGTTGCCTTCTGTTACAGCCCCCTATCTCTGTTAATGCCTGCTGTTACAGTCCCCTATCTCTGTGTTGTTGCCTTCTGTTACAGTCCCCCTATCTCTGTGTTGTTGCCTTCTGTTACAGCCCCCCTATCTCTGTGTTGATGCCTTCTGTTACAGCCCTCCATCTCTGTGTTGTTGCCTTCTGTTACAGTCCCCTATCTCTGTGTTGTTGCCTTCTGTTACAGCCCCCTATCTCTGTTAATGCCTGCTGTTACAGTCTCCTATCTCTGTGTGGATGCCTTCTGTTACAGCCCCCTATCTCTGTGTTGTTGCCTTCTGTTACAGTCCCCTATCTCTGTGTTGTTGCCTTCTGTTACAGTCCCCCTATCTCTGTGTTGTTGCCTTCTGTTACAGCCCCCCTATCTCTGTGTTGATGCCTTCTGTTACAGCCCTCCACCTCTGTGTTGTTGCCTTCTATTACAGTCCCCTATCTCTGTGTTGATGCCTTCTGTTACAGCCCTCTATCTCTGTGTTGTTGCCTTCTGTTACAGCCCCCTATCTCTGTGTTGATGCCTTCTGTTACAGCCCCCTATCTCTGTGTTGATGCCGTCTGTTACAGCCCCCTATCTCTGTGTTGATGCCTTCTGTTACAGCCCCCTGTCTCTGTGTTGTTGCCTTCTGTTACAGCCCTACATTTCTCCTTTATTTTCCTTCATCACTTACTTGATGCCTTTCCTCTATGTCCTTCTATCTCGCACACAATGTCTCCTACTACATCCCTCCTTCTCTCTGTCTTAATTCACCCTGATATGTCCTACCATCTCTCCATCTTCCTCTGTCTATTTACTGGGTAACTGTGTATAAATCCCTCTATCTATCTCTCTCTCAGATGCCTTCCAATATATTCTCTTTTGTCTCTTTATTGAACCATTCTGAATGATATTGGTCCATCTTTTTATTTAGCCTTCTGTTACTGCATCTCAAAACCAAATGGTATTTTAATCCTGAAACAAAATATTCCCAGTTTTTGCCCACATGTTAATCTAACAGTTTTTATGAATTAACTTGACAGATTTGTACAAGACTCAAATGAAAGTATATCATATGTACTGGTTTGATACATAACATAGATGTGAAAAACTGAGAGTTCCATTGTCAAAAGAAATTTATAGGGAAACAGACAAATAAATAATTAAACACTGGGATAAATAGATAAAAGATGAATCCTGTACTCATATTACCCAGAGTTGTAACATTTTATTCTATTTTTAGCAGAAACAGAAAAACAAAACTATTTTGGTGTTGTCTATCCTGAAAACCTATATTTCCTGACCTGCATGTGGAATATGGATGTTAACATGTACACAAGTAACTGAACTTGTTTGTGTTCTTAGTTACCTGAACAAGATGAGAGAACTTTACCACCGACCAGGGGCTGTTTTTGAATTAACTGTGGAACAAAAGAAAAACCTTGGTCTGTCTGAACCAGCCTCATGGACACTAGAAAAGCTCCAGCTCATCCACAACAAAATAGCTGAACCTCTAGTTTTGTACTGGTAAGTTTATTATCTCAAAGTTGACAGGATTGTGAAAAAACTGTAGAGAAACAACAGGTAAACAGGGAATTTTCTGATTCTCAGATAATGAAACAATTGAACTGAAATCTGTTTTAAGTAAGAGTTTTGATAATTCATGAAAAACTGGAGACAGTTCTTTACAGTAAAAAAGTCATTAAATAACTTATTACTTCCAAGTTTTAATCATATACATTTGAATGATTTTTGATGTTTTCCAGGGCTCCACGTTTTCTCCTGAAGCAGAGCCTAAAGACTGACCCAGCCAAGAATGAGCTGTATCATAATATGTCCCTTCTACGCCTAAATAACGATGGAGTCCACCCCAACCCTCCTACAACAAAGTTACTACCCCTCCGACCCAAATCATGTGTGCCCAAGATCACAACACCACCACCTGTAAGTAGCTTGACCTAGAACTAATTAAATGCACCTTAGTTAAAAGTATGTCTGTTGGAATTTTTCATGTACCCCTTTTCAAATATTAGCCATGCAAACAAGGCCCTGTTTAATGGAAAGAAAATAAAACAAATCTCTGAAGTGGAATTTTTGACAGCTGTCATTATTAGATCTAACTTTGTCGGGTTTTCTGGATTATTAAGCGACTAATTAATATCAAGACACTATAATATAGTGAAACATCCCTCTGTGCAATATAGTATTGTCTTCATCACTCCAGTGTATTGATAAACCTGTTGTCTGTTATATCAGTTACCTCCCTTTGTATAAATTAGCTTTTCCTGTCACATGTATTACACAGTTTTCTAGTTTGCTAGTTACCTCCCTTCTTATACTGGTGTTTTATAGGACAACTGGTGCTATTGATTATGCCATAGAATAACAAGAGTTCTAAAACCCTTTGGTCGGCAAATAATTAAATAGTATGAGGTTTGAACATATCTTAAATGCAGACATCCACCAATGACATAGCACCAGTTTTAATGAATTTTGATACAATTGTATGAAAGTTCTATATGCCTGTTGTCTTGATTTCAGCCCACTCCTGTGTCCAGTGTTCCACTGACTTCCCCTCCAGTGGGATACAAACGTGTGTATGCATCAAATGTTTTGTCAGCTGCAGTGAAAGAGAAGAAAAAAGAACTCATCACACCCAGACTACCTGCTTCTAAATCAAGCTCTGCTCATGTCAGAAGGTTGGTGATTAACTCAAGTACGAGTCAGATCTCCTGTATAAATAATACTGTCTACCAAAATTATCTCTCTGTGGTAACGGAAAAAAAATAAAAACAAGTAATATATCAATTCAGTCTAATACTTTAACATTTTTGATGCTCTCACAATTTTGTAGGAGGGGAGATATAGCATTAACCGTTTCCCTTCTTATCCCCAAAATCAATATCATCACACTGGCAACAAAGTGGAGGTCAAGGTCAGCTATCGTATTTACTTTATGGTGATTCAAGGTTCCAAGATGAAGGTCAAGGCCAACGTCACTTTTCATAAAACACCTGTATGATTGGCAGTAAGGACACTCATGTGTTACCAACAACTTTCTAGTGTTATTTTTGGTTTTGCAGGTCCTCCAATGGAAGTGCTGGTTCTTCACGCCCACAATCAGCTGCTCGCCACTCTCGTCTTCCATCTGCTAGACCTGCTTCGGCACTTCCATCACAGTCATCAACAAGACCTGTGTCTGCACGACCTGCTGCCTCTCCAAAACCCCTGGTGGAACGACAGACATCACGAGCACGCCCTTCCTCCGCAGGCTCTTCACCGAGTTCTCCTCTGGAGCAGGTTGAGCACAAAGAAGTGGAGTCTTTACTACAAACCCTACACCATGAGAGAACAGCTGGTGGCTTCTTCAGGAAATATGTGGAAAAGACACAAAAAAGAGTAGGTTTTGTTTTGTTGATATCAATCAACCTGTGAACAGCCAATGTCACTTTAAGGAAGAGACTCCTTGAGGTTAAAGGTGGTGACTACCTCACTGAATACCATGTGGGAGACCCACCGCATGCTTATCCAAACCTGAGTACAGTGTCTACCCCGTGTAGCCTCATCAACACAGGATGGCTGGTAATCTCTGCATTCTGAGAAACACAAACTTTCTTTAGCTGGAATTGAACCACACACCTTGGGTCTACAGCCACGGTTACAAATGCCCTGCTGACCGTGGGATTGTGGCTCCTTACTAACATAATAATCAATTGATTTAGACTTATCTTGATATTAAAGTTGTTGACACACAAATGAAAATTGTTTGCCAATATTCTGACTAAAATTTTTTAAATGATCTGGATAAGGTGTGGATTTGTTTTCTGTGTCAGCCATACCTGATCTTTTTATACAAAAGTTATGTATTTCATTGTAACTATTGGCTGTTTATTTTAACCTCATCCCAAATCTCTCTGTAATACAGAGTTGTTTTGTTTTATCAGAAATGGGTCAACTGCCTCAACTTCTGGACTGACCTTCAAGACTTCCACCTCATGTTTTATGCTGATTCCATTGATCCAGTCACTGTCACCAGAAAAGCTAAGGTCAGTACTTATGATACAAATTTAACTTGTGATTTCCATTCTTCACACAGGAATCCAGGCTACTGTATACTGTACAGTTTATACCAATACTGAAGACTTTATTTCACTATCGTATTTGAAGCTTATTTGTTAACTTTTGTATGAAAAATATATGATATATTTTCATTAGTCTTGTTTTGATATGTACATTTACAATTACGTAAAAGCCTGATTTTTGATAAAAATTCTTTATTTCTAATGACCTGACCAACCCTATACGGGCATACACTGATTTTATTTGTAGACAATTTTAAAGGAAAAACTATTAAAATTATGACTCCAGGTTAAAGTTGAGAAATCTCCAGGTTAAAGTTGAGAAATCTCCAGGTTAAAGTTGTGAAATCTCCACATTAAAGTTGAAAAATCTCCCGGTTAAAGTTGAGAAATCTCCACATTAAAGTTAAGAAATCTCCACATTAAAGTTGAGAAATCTCCTGGTTAAAGTTGAGAAGTCTCCCGGTTAAAGTTGAGAAATATCCAGGTTAAAGTTGAGAAATCTCCACATTAAAGTTAAGAAATCTCCACATTAAAGTTGAGAAATCTCCCGGTTAAAGATTATTTTAAAGAGTTTACCCAACCAACCTTCTTTTTCTTTACCTTGCATGTTTGTGGAAACACATTTATTTTTTACTTTTCATTGTCTTTTCTTGTCTAAGGTCTGTTTTATAGACATCTTTAATGTAATGTAATATATATGTGACTTTTGTCTTTCCAAAGGTCTAAATCTTCAATAATAAAATCTTTTCCTCTAACACCATATCTATACACCCACTGACCGTTCACAGTGTGTATCTGGTGCACTTGTATTATATCATTATTTTAACATGATTTTCAGACAATATATTCACATTATATTGTGGTCGGTTCTCCGAGAAATATTGGATGTACTGCTGCAATATTCAAAGAGATATACCGTTGTCTAGAGCCTGCCTTTGAAGACTTATTTGACGAAGCTGAGGAGCTAGCTTTATCAGTACTTCTCGTTCCATGGGTGCAAATGATCAACTCCGACATGAAGACATATGGCAAGGTGAGAGTACAAGACGCTTTCATCTGGGAAGAAGGCGTTCAAGGTTTTCAGATGAATGACCTTGTCCTATTTTCAAGGTTTTAGGAATAATGCTAAAAATCTGTTAACAACTTCTTCTAAATAACCAAAAGCCCTGGGTCATAAAATTGGGTCAGTTTGATATTAGGATGAAAGACTGATACATTTTTTGAAATCAATCACATTTCCATGGTCACTGGAGTCAAATCTAATTAGCAGGAATGAAGGGTTACCAAATTCAAAATTGTTAAAATTAAATTGCCCTGACAAAGGGGTCAAATGTATGAATGTCTTAAAACAGTTAACCAAGAGACAAAGAGTAAGGTTGATTGCTTAAAAGTCGGTGAATGGTCAGTTTGATCCAGTAAGTATTAAAGTTGCTAGAAAAACAAATTCCAATCAGTTATAAACTTTGGAGCAGTTGTGCAACATTGGAATCATTCAACATGAAACGCATTGGTTTTATATCAGTTAAAGACACTTAAGTGTAAAAATTCTATCAACTGAGACTTAAGATATTTGTTTCATAAAAGGAAAAGATATACACACATGATTATATTGTTACAATTTACCTTATAACACCACTAATTTTATAAACATTTACAGAACACGTGTAATTTCCGCGCAGTTAAAACACAAGAACTACTGATGTAATCAATTGAAAAGTTGTACAGTATTTTATCTTTATGGCTGCATTTAAGAATATTGGAAGGAAAAAGATGTTGGACTGATGACAGTAAATAACCCTGCATGTATTTAAACTCCTTAAAGTACAATATATAAGCTTTGAAGTTTAATTAATACATCTGAAATCCTCATGACGGCATCAATCCTCTTTTCCCACTGGACCATAAACTGTAATTAGTGTTTTCCCTTGATTTCTGTCATTTATGTGCATGACAAGAGAACTTTTACGAAATTACATATGCAACACAAACGAATTGTCTCCCATACTGAAACAGAGTTATTTGCTTTCGTAAATTATTGATGAAAATTAAACGCATGACATCAGCTGAAGATTTCTGTAAGGATAAAATCTGATTCTGTGCTTACATTCTGTGGTGATTATAACAAATTATTCACGTGTTTTGAACTTTATGAAGATATATTGCTAACTAATGTTACTTTTACACAATATATATATCAAGAGTATATGAAGGAAAGAAAAATTTCATGTGGGTAACTTGATTAAAATGCCAATAAATTTAAAACTGTGTTACTTGGATTTTACCAGAACTGTTGGTTCTAATTGATAATTGACTGCCTTTGGTGACAGGTGGAGCTGATCGAGGTAAAGAAACACCTGGAGACCAAGTCCAAATATGTTCTCACCTTACAGAAGAAAGGACTTATTAAGGAGGTAAAGTACTCCAGGAATCTTGTTGTTTTATCTTGTCTTGTCATCAGCCTGTACCAGTTTATCAGTCAGTCATCAGCCTGTACCAGTTTATCAGTCAGTCATCAGCCTGTACCAGTTTATCAGTCAGTCATCAGCCTGTACCAGTTTATCAGGCAGTCATCAGCCTGTACCAGTTTATCAGTCAGTCATCAGCCTGTACCAGTTTATCAGTCAGTCATCAGCCTGTACCAGTTTATCAGTCAGTCATCAGCCTGTACCAGTTTATCAGTCAGTCATCAGCCTGTACCAGTTTATCAGGCAGTCATCAGCCTGTACCAGTTTATCAGTCAGTCATCAGCCTGTACCAGTTTATCAGTCAGTCATCAGCCTGTACCAGTTTATCAGTCAGTCATCAGCCTGTACCAGTTTATCAGTCAGTCATTAGCCTGTACCAGTTTATCAGTCAGTCATCAGCCTGTACCAGTTTATCAGTCAGTCATCAGCCTGTACCAGTTTATCAGTCAGTCATCAGCCTGTACCAGTTTATCAGTCAGTCATCAGCCTGTACCAGTTTATCAGTCAGTCATCAGCCTGTACCAGTTTACCAAATGTAGTTTACTGTGATTTGTTTTTTCTTAAGATCAGTGTCATCATTCAGACTTTGTGGTTAACAGAATTCCTGTTTTATAATGAATAAGCGTATGGCAGTTTCCCATTACACTCACATCAAATTTAGGTCACTGCAACCTTTATATTCCACTTCAGTGACCTTATAATTTAGACATTGTGTTTTAGTCAATTTCTCTGTTGGTAGAAACACTTTTAAAGTAAACCACACCATCATATCAAATGAAGGTCGACTGCACTAAAATGCATCCTTTCAATTTTCCACTTAGTACATTGTGCAAAACGTTATTCTTCAGAATTTCACTCTGACTAGGTCTACTTTGGTCAGATTTCATTCTCAGTTTCATCAGTTCTCAAGTTTTAATTTCTAGTCTTATGATAAAAGTTATTAAAGAAGTAAAAAAGCAGAGGTTGAATTCAAGATGTTTTAGTTCCGCAATCCGGAAATCCAAAACCATTCATGATCTGTGACTTAATCAAGTTTATTAAAGGTTGAGACACAGAAACAAATTGATTGATATTATGATACAGCTGTAATGAAAAGTCAATCTTTAAAACACCAGATTAAGATTATTTTTATACAATATTGATCTTGACATTTCAGGAAACAAACTTCTGAGATTTTCAATAAAGATTATACATCAAGAATGAATCGAGATTGATCGATGGTGGTATAAATAGATATTTATTGATTTACTGATTTTTCAGAGAGTGATCACACCTGATGACCCTATGGAGGGATATGAAGATCCAGTGTATGATGAAAATCTAATTAATAATATACCTGATGAATTTAAAGATCATTCCTTAGATAAATTAGTCCATAATCGTATTGAGCTCGAGCACTTCCGCAACTTTTTGAACGAGAACTATGCCAGTATGGATCTCCTGTGCTGGATGGAGATAGAACAGTTCCGACGAATGCCACAAAATGATGAAAGGAAGAGGGATGACAAAGCTAGGGAATTGAAAAACAGATTTTTGAACAAAAAATATTTCTTTGGTCCAAACAGTCCAGCTGGAAAAGCAGCTCAGGATAAAGTGAGTTTATACAATATTGAATACAAGGTAGATTCAGTGATGAAATTTGAATACTAAGAAGTATCAGTAAGGCCCTCAATTGATGAAATGGTGACTATTTATATCAATGATAGTTATTGATTTATACCATGTACGTATAATGTACATTATAAATATGTATAACATGTTAAAAGACAAAAAAATTAAATTGCATGTAACCAAAAAAACATATGAATTATTTGATATATTACTATATACAGCAATACATCCATGCCGGGTTAAAAGCCCACTCCTTGTTACTTTATATATGTACCAACAAATGCTGATTCCTTGCCCTGTCTTGTTAGAAGCCCACTCCTTGTTACTTATATATATATGTACCAACAAATGCTGATTCCTTGCCCTGTCTTGTTAGAAGCCCACTCCTTGTTACTTATATATATGTATCAACAAATGCTGATTCCTTGCCCTGTCTTGTTAGAAGCCCACTCCTTGTTACTTATATATATGTACCAACAAATGCTGATTCCTTGCCCTGTCTTGTTAGAAGCCCACTCCTTGTTACTTATATATATGTACCAACAAATGCTGATTCCTTGCCCTGTCTTGTTAGAAGCCCACTCCTTGTTACTTATATATATGTACCAACAAATGCTGATTCCTTGCCCTGTCTTGTTAGAAGCCCAGTCCTTGACTTTGACTCTGGGCATATTACAGCTTTGGAAAATATATTTGATGACACTTTCAAGATTGTGTTTTTGATTTCTGAAACCTTGTGGCCTTTCAGATTATGGCTGATGCTGGTGGCTGGGGTAAATTACTAAATGAACGTCCTCCAAACTCTGTATTACTAGAGGCCCAGAAGTATGTAAGGGAAAGATTGGAAAAGAAATGGCTGCCATTATTTTTAACCACACCTGCCTTTGCCGAGCGCCAGAAACCCAACGCTGGCATGGATGATGTGGTTGATGATGTGATGGTTCAGAAGAGGAAGAAAAGTCAGGCTGTTCTCAAGGTAACCAGAGCATCATGGTGTCTGGATTCCACTGTATTTGTTATGTTAGTAAATGAAGAAGTGGGGTGTAATTGCTTCATCTAAATGGAAACGCTTTCTTCATTCTCCTCATGCTAAAATTCTATATTATAAACAGATAAAGTCATTTAAACATATCTGACGTGGTATGGCCATTCATTTTGACATTTGATTACAAATATCATACATACATACGTGTATATAGCCAGATAAGTCAGTTCTCTTTGACATTTCTAGATAAAGTGAAACTAGAATCATCCTCTATACAGAAGTATTGACCATGCTACTTAAAGTAGAAAGACCTTGACAGACATGGAATTTAACAAAGACAGACTGTGGTTAAAAAAAATCCTTGCCATTTCGAAAGCTCAGAGCTTTTTAATTTTTTCAGATTAAATGCAATCTAAAGTTTTGAATATGTACATGTTCTGGACTGTGACTCGCATGCTTAATTAAGTTTTGTGAAGTTGCTTTATGTTTGTGCCTTTAACTATAGACTTTAGATTAAAGAAGGTTTGAGAGACTGATTAAATGAGAGTCATGAGACTGCTTTCAGAGATTTTTCCAATTTAGTAGCTTGCAGTATACTGCTGTGTGTGAATGGCAATGATACTGGTTCCCTTCATTATCCATGTTTACATGATGTGCCATTCATTCTTCTGAGACATGTTTTTGGTATACGTATGTTTAAACATTTCCTGTTCATGAATCAGTATGACCATGTCATTAACCTCACTTGACACATGGGTAATAACACTATCGCGACATCACAAATAAGTCATGTATTGTTGACTTCACATATAATTGTATTGGCAGTTGAAAACATAGCAATTCAATATCATCCTGTCTTTGACGCTAAAAAAGTTTTACTTATTTTTCAGAAATATGAGTTATATGGTAAATAAAATTTAAATTTAAAATTATTGATAAGATTATTAATCTTGTTTGAGAAATTTTTTATTACATCATCATCACTGATGTATGACCTTCAATTTTTGTTAGAGAATTCTTGTCTACTTTTCTAATCAATGCTGTGAATGTTGGGTTTATTTCTTTTTTTTTGCTCACCAGTTGTTGGAGAGTAGATGGATCTCTTCCTCCAAGGAGATCATCACCTTCCGTAGTGCCCTCCTCAATCCTATCACTGCCCTTCAGTTCCGTCGTTTCGTCTCCATCAAAGGGGACACACTAGAGAATGACGTTTTGTTCTGGCTTGAGGTCCAGCGCTTCAAGGTTAGTACAAATTTAGTTGTTGGAAGCTTATATAGAAAGCCTGAATCTAGTTCCTTATGATATACATGTAAATTTTTCTATGTATAAGTAAGTAAACAGATATTTAGATTTTTTTTTGTTTTACATGGTCCACTGAGAATTTGTTTTTGAAATCAATTACAGGATGTCAATCATACTCACAGCGATGAAACATACATCCTTGGGAAAATCAACGCCATCATCAACTGTTTCATTGATTCTCCAATTCCCCCAAGTCTGCAGATAGATATCACAGGGGACATGGCAGAGAGAATTCTGGAACACAAATATGAGAGGAACCCTTATCTGTTTAGGGAGTCACAGGTACGGATCTTACATATCATGGTTAAGGAAACATTAAGGCTGTATGCTACTGTACCTTATCTCAGTTTCAAAAATATTTCATATTATCAAATCCGTTTTCAAATAATTAATATAAGTTAATTAACAGAAAACTAATTTGCTAGGAATGACTATCTCTGATGAATTTATTCATGGTTGTGCCTCGCCAATTAAAATGTTTGTGGGGATGACAGTATAATTACAGGATTGTTCAGTTACCTTATTAATCTAACAAATTAATGTATGCCTTATGATAAGCCCACCCATCGCTATTCCTGTTCAGTAAAATTACAAGCAAAATTATACTTACGGTAAGATATACCAAGATAAAGAGCAGTGTGATTTCTACCAGCACTAAACTTCAATAATGGAAACAAAAATATCTTAATATATTTGCATGTAGCTATAAAGTTATCATTTCAAATTTTTGTAAATTTATTTAACAGTGTGCTGTTTTCCGAACTCTGTTCCAACACTGGAATGACTTCTGTGAGTTCAGATCTAACTTAGCCGATGACAAAGTTCTGCCAACAATAGAAAGACGAAGAAGACATGCAAAGTTGAAGGAGAGACAAAGACAGAAAATGGAGGAAGAAAAAGCACTCAAGGTAGACAACTTGTATTTGTATTATAGCTTTGAAGTTGTAAGATTTGGTTTGATTTTAAGTTTGATGGGATTTTCATTCAAATGCTGTGAGTTTTTTTTTCATACTTTTGATTTAATTAATTTACATTTCTACTTATTTGGATTGAAGAAGCATGTGTTTATTTTGGTTTTTTTGATGTGTTATTCAGATAGATTTTTTTTATTATGGATTTATAACTTTCAACTTTCTTGGATTTCTTTGCAGTTTTCATTCTTTATAGTGTACCATCTCTCTCCCCGTACACAAGACAAACATCTCTTTCCAACAAATGTTCACAGAGACTGGCACATTCTTTATAGTGTACCATCTCTCTCCCCGTACACAAGACAAACATCTCTTTCCAACAAATGTTCACCTAGACTGGCACATTCTTTATAGTGTACCATCTCTCTCCCCGCACACAAGACCAACATCCAACAAATGTTCACCTAGACTGGCACATTCTTTATAGTGTACCATCTCTCTCCCCGTACACAAGACAAACATCTCTTTCCAACAAATGTTCACTGAGACTGGCACATTCTTTATAGTGTACCATCTCTCTCCCCGCACACAAGACAAACATCTCTTTCCAACAAATGTTCACAGAGACTGGCACATTCTTTATAGTGTACCATCTCTCTCCCCGCACACAAGACAAACATCTCTTTCCAACAAATGTTCACAGAGACTGGCACATTCTTTATAGTGTACAATCTCTCTCCCCGCACACAAGACAAACATCTCTTTCCAACAAATGTTCACAGAGACTGGCACATTCTTTATAGTGTACCATCTCTCTCCCCGCACACAAGACAAACATCTCTTTCCAACAAATGTTCACCTAGACTGGCACATTCTTTATAGTGTACCATCTCTCTCCCCGTACACAAGACAAACATCTCTTTCCAACAAATGTTCACAGAGACTGGCACATTCTTTATAGTGTACCATCTCTCTCCCCGCACACAAGACCAACATCCAACAAATGTTCACCTAGACTGGCACATTCTTTATAGTGTACCATCTCTCTCCCTGTACACAAGACCAACATCCAACAAATGTTCACCTAGACTGGCACATTCTTTATAGTGTACCATCTCTCTCCCCGTACACAAGACAAACATCTCTTTCCAACAAATGTTCACTGAGACTGGCACATTCTTTATAGTGTACCATCTCTCTCCCCGTACACAAGACAAACATCTCTTTCCAACAAATGTTCACAGAGACTGGCACATTCTTTATAGTGTACCAACTCTCTCCCCGCACACAAGACAAACATCCAACAAATGTTCACCTAGACTGGCACATTCTTTATAGTGTACCATCTCTCTCCCCGCACACAAGACAAACATCCAACAAATGTTCACCTAGACTGCCACATTCTTTATAGTGTACCATCTCTCTCCCCGTACACAAGACAAACATCTCTTTCCAACAAATGTTCACAGAGACTGGCACATTCTTTATAGTGTACCATCTCTCTCCCCGTACACAAGACAAACATCTCTTTCCAACAAATGTTCACTGAGACTGGCACATTCTTTATAGTGTACCAACTCTCTCCCCGTACACAAGACAAACATCCAACAAATGTTCACCTAGACTGGCACATTCTTTATAGTGTACCATCTCTCTCCCCGTACACAAGACAAACATCTCTTTCCAACAAATGTTCACTGAGACTGGCACATTTGTATACAGTATAATGAAGTTATCAAGTGACTTTTTATGTGTCACATCTGAAGCAATATAATGACGCCATCTCCTCCAAGTGAAAATACAGCAAACATTTTCTTGACCTTTTGGAGGCGTGTCTGACGGAGCGTAAGGTGCTTTGTTGACTGGTTGTTGACTAAATTTTATCCTGACCATTACTTTCTTGTTTGATTTTCATTCTCAGATTTAGATAATTAGCCCAGTATCTAATAATGTGGGCTTTTTGTAAACAATCCTTGTTACCACTATTTCTTGAAAAATTTTCATTTCCTCTGGTTGATAATTGTGTCCCTTTAATTTTAGGGCTGATAAGATAAACAAAATGGCTAACAGGTGGCCATCTTGAAATATTGACAATGAAAGATTGTTGTTGCTATTTCTTAAGAAATATTGAATGAGGTTTTTTTACAGGTGGCCATCTTGAAATATTGACAATGAAAGATTGTTGTTGCTATTTCTTAAGAAATATTGAATGAGTTTTTTTACAGGTGGACATCTTGAAATATTGACAATGAAAGATTGTTGTTGCTATTTCTTAAGAAATATTGAATGAGGTTTTTTTACAGGTGGCCATCTTGAAATATTGACAATGAAAGATTGTTGTTGCTATTTCTTAAGAAATATTGAATGAGTTTTTTTACAGGTGGCCATCTTGAAATATTGACAACGAAAGATTGTTGTTGCTATTTCCCTTAGTCTACAGTATAGTATTTTGGTATTTCTGGAGAAACACTGGATAAATCTTTCTCTAATCTAAAATGTAGATCCCCCTCACTCCCTAGTTGTGTCCTTAACTGGTGATTATCTTTGATTTAACAGGCAAAGATTATTTTAGCTGTATGCATGTCTTTAGAGAAACTTCCAAACATATGATTATGAACAAAAACAGATGAAAGAAGAGAAGGGAAAAGAACAAAACGTCTCTCTTCATTGTGTAGTGTAATCTGATATCTGTTGTATTTCACTTGATTGAGAACTGTAATTATGTACGCCCATATAAGGTCAACAATTAATAAAAAGCACTCCAATACTCCTGAGACATTCATTGGGTTAGAGATCTTATTATACTCACTATATACTTATGAACAGGTCCCTTTTTCCCACAATTGTCCACTCTGAGTAAACATTTCATGCTAATTAATAAATGGTACAGTTCCTACTGAATACAGTTTGACGATACTCTCTAGGAAATTTCTACAACTTGATTTATAATTCAGGCTTTGTGTTCTGAATTTTTCAGTCTGGAGTATATAAGACATTGGGGTTGGTTCTTTTATCAAGTCGTATCAAAGCACTGTATTTAAAAGTTTTTTCCTTGATTATCACTTAGAATTTAAATCACATGACTGATTAGCATTGATGATAGACCAGGATTGTGTTGTGTCGGGCACATTGTCGACAGATATATGGTAGTGTTAACACTGCTGGCACTGCTTTATCTTTGTACCTCTTTCTATAAACAAGCGGGCTTGGTAAGATGCCACGCAGAAGAATGGTGTCGTGTGCAGACTGTGAAGCTCTATTGTCTTACCCAGTATTGTGTATGACCTTGAATGACCCTGTTTATCCATGATCAGCACAGTTTTGTTGTTTTTCTGTAACGGTGCCATGATCAATTTATAATCGGCTGCAAAACCATTTAGAAACATTTGTTGATGGTACATATATGCCATTATAAAAGTTGATATTGTTATTAAAAACATAGGAAAAGAGAGAAGCCGTGTTGGAGGGTGACGATAGAGAAGTACTTATCTATGATAATTCTAGCTAACACAAGAGTTGACAATCACATCTGGAAATCACATTTTCTCGTTTGAATTTGGTGAATATTTGACTTGGACATCACTGTGTGTTACTTTGATTGTGTAAGAGAGCACCGTTTACACTACATGTGTTTGTGAAGCCTGTAACATACTGTGAGAATTACTTATAAAGTGCTAGTCAAGTAAAATCTTCTCCATTAGAACAACGATGACACGGAAGGTTAGGGGTAAGGTTGTTATGATGATGACGACATAGGAGAAAAGTTATGAAGACATTGTGTGAAAAACAGTGTTATACAGAAAATTTCCAACGCCAGGTAGGAAAGACTTATCTGTTTGATGTTGCACATTTGTCTGACTTGAGACAAGTTTATTCTAAGTTTAATGTATGATAAGGTATATAAGGTCAGCTACATACAAATTATACACTATAACTGTCCAAATACAGAAAATTGTCTTCCTGACATATCTCCAAGTTCCATTACAATCTTTAATTACTTTTTACTTTTTAGATCATATGACATTTTTTAAAAGGAATAATTTGAATTTTTCTGCTGTAAAGTTTGATACAGTTTGAGTGCCAAGTCAATGAATCTTTTCCTCAATCGATCAGACAAGCTAAATGTCATATAACTTGTAATAATTTTTCAGCCAATCAGGCAGCAGTATAGGAAATGGTACAAGCCAATGCTAAAGGCGTTTGTAAGTTTGAATGCGTACATGTGGCTGAGGCTTAGGTCAAAATGGTACCTGGGCAGTGTCACGTTACTGTTGACACTATGCATGGAAAAAGTAGAAAAATAAAAACTTATAATCATTAATGGGGATATATATACATGTATGAGGTAACACTTTTTCTGACCAGATAAGTACGTGGTTTGGGCATTAATGCATTTTTACTGAGATAAGTATTCATCTGCCTATATCGTAATAGAAATATATACCATTTACAGGGACACATTTTTTGTGATAATAAGCACCACACAGCCATAATTAACAATCCAGAAATACTTTTCCATTAATTAAGTCATAAAATTCAACCCATTTGACAAAATTAGGACCAAAATTGATGCAATTACTGCAAACGGCCACAGCTCACAATCCAGAGATGAAAAAAAACATGTGAATTAATTATATATTTTGAATAATGGGTCATTGTATCATTTTCTTTATATTTTTATGCACAAATCCACTTTTTTTAGATTTCAAAAACACACACACAAAAATTTTAAAAATTTGTTTTATTGAAATTAACTTCCCCTTCTATCAAGGTCATTTATCAAAGGTCATTCCTCAAATATGTTGTTAAATACCATTGTGGTGTACCTGATGATAATTACTCAGGAATCATTATACTACAGTTTGATTCATACTTAGAAGTCAGATGAGGTTTTGTTGGGTTAAGTTTGATGGTCATGGGGTATGTTTTTAACATAAAACACATAATGATGTTTGTCAATATTAACATTTGACACTTAAGTTTGTTCTAATATGTGTTGTATTTTATCCCATTTAAAAAGATAATCATTCTTTTCAGACTAAGCATTAAAACCTGCCTGTGTTTGTCACTCACCTTAACTATGTGATATTACATTCCAAACTTCCAACAAAACAATACTATCAACTGGAACAGAAATATTTCCATATCATACTGGCATGTATTCTCTTCAAACGAAGGTCTAACAAAAACTTGAAATATACAAGCATGAGCGATCTTTAAAAAAAGTATAATTTATGATATCAATGTTCTTCAAAGCAATGTGTATCAGAGTACTCTATTTTCAGCTGCTAGAAGATATTGTTATAAAATTGTAAAATTATGTCCTTTTTATTCTGCAGGTTATTGGTAATTCAAATTCTGAAAAAAAAAATGTAAAAAAAGAAATCTCGTTAACATCCTCATGAAATGACTGTAGGATGAAAATTCAATGGCAAAAATAATTTTGCTTTGTACTGTATTTAAATGAGGTATTCCGACAATTTCACCCGAGGGAAATGAAAAGAGGACAGTTATTCATCACATTATGTATTTAAATTGAGCTAATGTTGTAACATTACATTCCAAGGAGTACAACAATGTGTATCTATCCTGTCGCGGCCAATGTTTTAGTAATGATACGCTTTTGGTTTCTGCTGAGTTCTCTAATGCATTGGTCAGTGTAAATGTTTCATGTCTTCATATTAAATATTATAATATATTTTTGTATATCTTTTTGTAATTATAAACTTGCTGTACAAATTTGTTCATTTGTTGTTGAAATGAGAAAATGTTTAAATACAAAGCCAACGATTGTATTGAGAACACATGAGTCAGTATATATATCTAAATTGTGTCAGTCTATAATGATGGTGGACGGTCTGTAATGATGGTGGACGTGACAATGCATGAACATGTCACCCCAGGGTTTATCTCAGCAGTATCAGGCAAATGTTAACCATTACATATCTAAATTTGTATTACATACCTAGATCTTGCGGCCTGAATCAGATACCTAAATCTTAAATATAAATCTATTCTCAGATCCTTCAGGATTCATCCTACTTTATTCTGGGATAAATCTTTGACATAAATCTATTCTCAGATCATTCAGGAATTACCCTACTTTATTCTGGGATAAATCTTTGATATAAATCCAGTCTCAAATCCTTCAGGATTCACCCTATTTTATTCTGGGATAATAAATGAAATTTGGATTCCTTTAATCTGTAACAATTAAGTTCATATGGTGAGTTATTCAAACATTGTGAAATAAAAATCTCAAACATACTTACCATGATTTATATCTATCTTTGTTGTTGCATAGCAACCACTATATATATTTACTTCATGTGTTCATGAAAAATTATGGCTATTGTGTACTGGAATAATCTCTTCCCCAGGTATTTACTCTGAGAAACCCTTCACACAGAATACTCTGGGGGCTGATGAAACTGGATTTTCTGTCAAATAGAATTTTCAATATGTTATAAAACAAAACAAATACTTAAAAAGTACAGACTGTTACTATTTTTGTATACTTCAGATGAAGTTAAATATTGATTGTATTATATTTAAAGAATATAAAGAAATGTCTGATGCTAAATTTGTAGACTGACTTATACTGCATGTCAAGAACCATCAGCTGTCTAACTTGTAGACTGACTTATACTGAATGTCAAGAACCATCAGCTGGCTTATTTGTAGACTGACTTATACTGAATGTCAAGAACCATCAGCTGTCTAACTTGTGGACCGACTCATACTAAATGTCAAGAACCAGAAAATTTACCAAATGTTTGCTAATGATTCCTACTTGACTGTATGTGTACTCTGTCAGAGGACTATTACTGTATTTGTCAGCAGTAGACGTTGTTCTATGATGAACACATTATAAAACTTTATACAGAACACTGTTGCTGTTCTATATAATTTTGTTTATATACTGTATCCCCTCCTTTTTACGATTTGTTAATTTATTTGTAAGATTATCTATATAATTGTATGATTATGTATAAAAAATACTCTGAACTCACTTGTTTTATTTGTGGTGTTACATATATTATCATTGTAGGAGGCGGAGAGACGAGCAGCTCTAGGCCTGGCCCCCGGGGATGATTTGGAGGCTTATCATGACCCGTTTGCCCATCATCAGGGAGAGGGCAGTGAAGTGGGAGAGGAAGAAGAGGAGTCGGGCGTCAAGGATAAAATCTCCTGGTCTTACTCAAATTACATGAACGCCTTACATAAAGAGGACATCCTCAACAACACAGACGAGTCAACATTTAGCTCTCTCATGTCAGACTCAGGTAAATCATCAGAGGTCAAAGTTTCTTTTTTATGAACGATTCACGTACCTCTCCAGAGATGATTGTTTGATTCGTACAATGTATGAAATTACGTGATAGATGGAAAAATATTTTGATTGAATTATAAAATTTAATTTTGAGTTAAAAAATAAACAACATTCTCAATATACTTATCTACCAGCAATCTGTTAAAAAGATAATGGTTGACAAAAATTAATTACTGATGTATTTACTTTTTAGCCTCTCAGAAGGGTAGTGACATAGTGGAGAAAGGCTCGGTGATGAGCAAACCATCAGACACCATCAATACTACCAACAGTAGTAGAAAGGAGACCAAGTCCGAACATTCTCAGACTGATAAATTAGAAAAGAAGTAAGTAGCACGGAAAAAAGATGGTAGATCACGTTTTCTTTTTACGCAGAAAAGTTATATATCTAATGATGTTAGTCATAATATAGAAATATATGGCTGTCAATACTGGTGAATTTGACTGTGTGAGGTCTGTCGTTCTTTCTAAAATTTCACTTTTTCTAAGGACGTGTTTTCTTATTCCGCCTCAATGTTTAATTAAAATGAATGAAAGTGTCAAGCCCCTGAGCAATCCTTCTTGAAGATATCACTTTCCTACCTATATAGTTGATCTTCTGGTAACCTCTGAATAAAAAAGGAAGTGCTGCTGTCAAGTAGAATCAGGCTGAAGGACGTCTCAGGTGTTTTCATAGTAACAAGATTAAGTTGGGTACGATGGCTTGTTTAACATTAAAGGGTGACATGATGATTTTGTTGTCAAGTTGAGAACACTGTTTAAAAAAGTCACAGAAATAATGTTTATCTAGTTTGGTTGGCTGTTTTGCTGTTTCAGGAAATCTGTTAAAATCAATACTGCTGACACAACACAGAGGAAATGTGAGAGTCCAGCCAAAGGAGATATTAAAGGTAAGGTTAAATGTCAATATCAGATATGTCTCAAATTTATTCTTAGATTCTCCATATGGTATAAGAATACAAAATTTATACAATCAAACCTTTTTGTTTTTATTTTATACAATCAAGGCCACTCACAAGAGCATAGACAGAGTGCATACCAGTATCTTATTGAAGCTGTCATAGCATTGTTGTGATACAACAATGTGCCACTGTTTATAAGAAATGAAGTGATTGTTAAGATTTTCCACCTGGGTAACTGTTGAAATAGATACTGGAGACAGAATCTTAAACTTCCTGATGTTATTGGTGAATTGTTACAGCATTGACTTAACCTACCACTTAAAACAATATATATTGGGCTACAGTAGGCTGAATTAATATTGTGTGAGAAAAGTTTTCTTCATTGAAAACCTGACCTGACTTTGGATGCTGTGTTGATTTCAGGTAAGAAGAAACCAGATGCAGTAGTAAGACGAGCAAGTGGAGATGTGATGAAAATGGAACCACTCAAAGAGGAAAATGAAGATGGTGTAAAGTCACCGACTGATAAGAAGGTCAAGGCCAAGCCCATATTACAGAAAAGATGATAGGTTCAGTGTGAGTTTCCATGGCAACTCCATGATGACATAACATGGCAGCAGCTGCTTTTAGATGACAAATGTTATGAACCTCTATAATATTTACATTTTGTTTATTTTTCCTGAACTAACAGCAAGAAAAAGAAGGTTTTAGATTGAGATCTTCTGATAAACCTTGCTAACTAGCGCTTACAGCTACAGCTACAGCTAAATTACGTCAGACAAATTCCGACATTGTTCTAATTTTATTTGGAAAAATTTACAATGATTTATATGTATACTATTTAATCTATATCAAGAAAACAAGACTTGGAACTAGACTGCCTGAGTTGCTCATCATAAGAGCATGACAATATCTGTTTATCCTACCCAGGACAAATGATGATGTAGACCACTAGGCATAATCAGCTAATTAATCATTTAAAATCCATATTTCCTTTTTCCGTCCAAAACTATAAAATATGTTACTACGTGCCAAAGTCACGGTTTTAGCTTTGTTATGTTTCTTGTGAGAAACATAATCTCAAACTTGTGATTGTTATTTTTTTTAGTTTCCTTTTTTTTTTTAATCTGCTGCATTTTTGCTTCTTAAAAAGGATGAGGTTATTGGTTTAACCAGTCATTTGCTTTATGTAGTTTCAAAAATCTTGCATAACTAGTCCAAATTACTTTATCATGAATGTGATTTATTTATTGAAATTTTCTGTGATTGTAAAAATGTGATATGTCTTTAATGTATACATACATGTATATATATTTATACACTAACCATTTGCATTTCTCCCATTGATGATGATGATGATGATGATGATGATGATATGTTTCAATGCGACTGATAAACCATGTCTTATAAAAGTGTCTTTTATTAGTTACAGAACATCATTACTTTTAGCTTTCTCGAAATTTTCTTTAGGCATGACACATCATGCATTATGGCTGTGATGATAATGACATATGCAGTGAATTTTATTTTCCTAGTTTTATTAAATATAAATAGTTTTCTACTGAACAGCAGTTTGAGAAAGAGCATCTTACAAAACCAAGTAGAGAATTATGAATGACTCTTTGTTTCAGATTTTGAGAATTTGTTTTTATATATAGTTGATGCATTTTGTTGTGTTAGTTCTCAGCATGATTTCCAGAAATAATGTCTAAACATGTGGTTGCTGTAAATGAAAGTGCCTTTAAGAGAGAAAAAAGAAAGGTATTTATTGTAGGTAAATTGTTATATAATTGATATTTACACAATAGATAGAGTTGCATTAATTATCTATGTATATCTTTAACTTATACTACAATATGTAGGTACTTTCAATTGTATGTCCCTTTAGATGATGATCAATCTAGTTTTGTATTTAATTTGTTTACATCCAAAGCAAAGGCTGTGATTTTGCTAACTCCGTTTTTTATTCTGTTATTTTTGTGGAACCGCAAAATCGTGATAGGAAAAACTAGTGAGACAGTTGTTGGAAAGCAATAAACAAACAACCATGTATCTATGCATTATTTTTTCATTAAATGTTTTTGAAATTTATTTCCGACCATTCTTTAATCCTATGTCATTGAAACTTGAATCTAAATAAACTGTTTCTTTAAAATACAAAATAACTCAAGATGTTTTGTTTATTGAGTTTGATTGAGTTGAATTGCTGGAGCTATATTTTATTTAAACCAGATTGGTTCATTATAAATAAATTGATTGACAAACCTACCGCTCAGTGATAAGGTGCTTGAGATACGGATTGACAATATGTACACATTCTGTAGGAGTTTTACAGTCTGTGTATCCACCTGAAGTCCCATTAGGTTTTTGGGCTAATACAAGGAACAGGCCCATGTACAACAGATCACTTGATAATTTCACTAAGATATTGAGTGTTTCTAGGTCTGTAATTAAAAATGGGGTTGATAGGAACAATGTTCCAGTTATTAGTTATGTTATGAATATTGATGTGTTTTCTCTGATACAAGAACACTTCTGTAACATTTTCAGCTTCATCATGACCTGAAATACTTTCTTATCCTAAATATTTTGAAGAAAAAATTAACAAATCTTTTTCCATTCCAATAAATTCTCTGCTGAAATCATACGACATTTTGTGGTTTTGTTTTACTACAGAATTCATTGATACGAGATGGTCAATATTAGTGTAACTGATAAAATCCGAATCTTCACATTGGTGTAACTTCAGTGATGGTACAGAACTTGTGATACTGTAATAGTTTTAGTGTCTAACTTCAGTGGTGGTATAGAGCTTGTGATACTGGAATAGTTTTAGTGTCTAACTTCAGTGGTGGTACAGAGCCTGTGATACTGGAATAGTTTTAGTGTCTAACTTCAGTGGTGGTACAGAGCTTGTGATACTGGAATAGTTTTAGTGTCTAACTTCAGTGGTGGTACAGAGCCTGTGATACTGGAATAGTTTTAGTGTCTAACTTCAGTGGTGGTACAGAGCCTGTGATACTGGAATAGTTTTAGTGTCTAACTTCAGTGGTGGTACAGAGCTTGTGATACTGGAATAGATTTAGGGTTGAACTGAACTGATGGTACAGAGCTTGTGATACTGGAATAGTTTTAGTGTCTAACTGAACTGATGGTACAGAGCTTGTGATACTGGAACAGTTTTAGTGTCTAACTTCAGTGGTGGTACAGAGCCTGTGATACTGGAATAGTTTTAGTGTCTAACTTCAGTGGTGGTACAGAGCTTGTGATACTGGAATAGTTTTAGTGTCTAACTTCAGTGGTGGTACAGAGCTTGTGATACTATAATAGTTTTAGGGTTGAACTGAACTGATGGTACAGAACTTGTGATACTGGAATAGTTTTAGTGTCTAACTTCAGTGATGGTACAGAGCTTGTGATACTGGAATAGTTTTAGTGTCTAACTGATCTGATGGTACAGAGCTTGTGATACTGGAACAGTTTTAGGGTTGAAATGAACTGATGGTACAGAACTTGTGATACTGGAATAGTTTTAGTGTCTAACTTCAGTGATGGTACAGAGCTTGTGATACTGGAACAGTTTTAGTGTCTAACTGATCTGATGGTACAGAGCTTGTGATACTGGAACAGTTTTAGTGTCTAACTTCAGTGATGGTACAGAGCCTGTGATACTGGAATAGTTTTAGTGTCTAACTTCAGTGATGGTACAGAACTTGTGATACTGGAATAGTTTTAGTGTCTAACTTCAGTGGTGGTACAGAGCTTGTGATACTGTAACAGTTTTAGTGTCTAACTTCAGTGATGGTACAGAACTTGTGATACTGGAATAGTTTTAGTGTCTAACTTCAGTGGTGGTACAGAGCCTGTGATACTGTAACAGTTTTAGTGTCTAACTTCAGTGATGGTACAGAACTTGTGATACTGGAATAGTTTTAGTGTCTAACTTCAGTGGTGGTACAGAGCCTGTGATACTGTAACAGTTTCAGTGTCTAACTTCAGTGATGGTACAGAACTTGTGATACTGTAATAGTTTTAGTGTCTAACTTCACTGATGGTACAGAGCTTGTGATACTGGAATAGTTTTAGTGTCTAACTTCAGTGGTGGTACAGAGCTTGTGATACTGGAATAGTTTTAGTGTCTAACTTCAGTGATGGTACAGAACTTGTGATACTGTAATAGTTTTAGTGTCTAACTTCAGTGATGGTACAGAGCTTGTGATACTGGAACAGTTTTAGTGTCTAACTTCACTAATGGTACAGAGCTTGTGATACTGGAACAGTTTTAGTGTCTAACTTCAGTGGTGGTACAGAACTTGTGATACTGGAATAGTTTTAGTGTCTAACTTCAGTGGTGGTACAGAGCTTGTGATACTGTAATAGTTTTAGTGTCTAACTTCACTGATGGTACAGAGCTTGTGATACTGGAATAGTTTTAGTGTCTAACTTCAGTGGTGGTACAGAGCTTGTGATACTGGAATAGTTTTAGTGTCTAACTTCAGTGATGGTACAGAACTTGTGATACTGTAATAGTTTTAGTGTCTAACTGATCTGATGGTACAGAGCTTGTGATACTGGAACAGTTTTAGTGTCTAACTTCACTAATGGTACAGAGCTTGTGATACTGGAACAGTTTTAGTGTCTAACTTCAGTGGTGGTACAGAGCTTGTGATACTGGAATAGTTTTAGTGTCTAACTTCAGTGGTGGTACAGAGCTTGTGATACTGGAATAGTTTTAGTGTCTAACTTCAGTGATGGTACAGAACTTGTGATACTGTAATAGTTTTAGTGTCTAACTTCAGTGGTGGTACAGAACTTGTGATACTGGAATAGTTTTAGGGTTGAACTGAACTGATGGTACAGAGCTTGTGATACTGGAATAGTTTTAGTGTCTAACTTCAGTGATGGTACAGAGCTTGTGATACTGGAATAGTTTTAGTGTCTAACTTCAGTGGTGGTACAGAGCTTGTGATACTGGAATAGTTTTAGTGTCTAACTGAACTGATGGTACAGAGCTTGTGATACTGGAATAGTTTTAGTGTCTAACTGATCTGATGGTACAGAGCTTGTGATACTGGAACAGTTTTAGGGTTGAACTGAACTGATGGTACAGAGCTTGTGATACTGGAACAGTTTTAGTGTCTAACTTCAGTGGTGGTACAGAGCTTGTGATACTGGAATAGTTTTAGTGTCTAACTTCAGTGATGGTACAGAGCTTGTGATACTGGAACAGTTTTAGGGTTGAACTGAACTGATGGTACAGAGCTTGTGATACTGGAACAGTTTTAGTGTCTAACTTCAGTGGTGGTACAGAGCTTGTGATACTGGAATAGTTTTAGTGTCTAACTTCAGTGATGGTACAGAGCTTGTGATACTGGAATAGTTTTAGTGTCTAACTTCAGTGGTGGTACAGAGCTTGTGATACTGGAATAGTTTTAGTGTCTAACTGAACTGATGGTACAGAGCTTGTGATACTGGAATAGTTTTAGTGTCTAACTGATCTGATGGTACAGAGCTTGTGATACTGGAACAGTTTTAGGGTTGAACTGAACTGATGGTACAGAGCTTG